AGGAGGTGGGGGGGGGGAGAGAGACAGGATGGCTCTCTTGAAGTACTGGAGGAGGAGGAGAGGGAGCTGTTCCTGTTGGCACCAGAGGAGGGAAGTCACAAGGACGGGTTTAAATTAAGGGCGGGAAGGCACCGGCTGGATCTTAGGGAAAACTTTTTGACAGTCAGAGTCGTGCCACAGTAGAATCGGCTGCCTGGGGAGGTGGTGAGCCCTCTTACCCCCCACTGGCAGTCTTCAAGCAGCAGCTGGACAAACGTTTATCACGGATGCTCTCTAGGGTGGCCCTGCACTGAGCAGGGGGTGGGGCTGGATGGCCTGCAGGGCCCCTCCCACCTCTGTGTGACCCTGTGATCCTAACTAGACCCCTCTGAGCAAGAGGGATTTGAACTCATCTCTCTCTCTTTGCATCCTGCATGGGTTGTACTGAAGTTTTAAAGCAGAAAAGATAAACAACAGAAAAGTAAGCATAAAAACTCATTAGCTCTCAGACAATCGATACCCTCCTCTCCACAATGCTGGGTGGGAGACTGCTTTTGAAACCCAAGGGACAGGACCGTGAGGGGATGGCTCCTGAAAAGCGAACCCTCCAGTGGGGAGCTTTTCCAACCGCATTTTTAAAGGGGACAAAATATGCCAGGAAAAAGAAGACTGTCACTTACCAGCAGCGACATGAAGAAGTTGTGCAGGTAGACGATCTGAATGCAGCCCACCTTCAGCGACATCTTACCGTCTACTCTGGACATATCCGTGTAAGCTTCTCCCTCGGTGGCATCGGGATAAAGGGACATGGCAAACCGAAAGACTTCGTCTCCCACTATGGAGACGGTCTGCAAAGATCATATTTGTTTATTTATTTATTTGATTAGCGTCTTATCCTGCAAGCAGACTCGGGGCGGGCTCCATCAATATTGATACGATCTGCAGTAACTACTAAAATATATTTAAAACAACAAAATTAAAACAGTACACTAGTCATAAAATACCGCGCAGGTTCTGATCAAATGTCTCAGTAACTGATATGGATCAGCAGGGTAGGTTCCCAGGTGGCTGTTCGAATCTAGGACACTGATGGATAGGTGGACACCCGGGGGTGGGGGGGACACGTCCACTGCCTCAACTAAAAGCCCGACGGAAGAGCTCCATCTCGCAGGCCATGCAGAATTGCAGTAAGTCCCACAGGGCCCTGATCTGATACAGGAGCTCGTTCCACCGGGTAGGGGCCCAGGGCCTATTTTTTAGTACGTCTGCTGAAAGTCAGGCATCCCTACTGATTATTTTCCTAAGAAATTTATTCTGCCCGATCTTTCTGCTTTTCTCCCTTTCTCACAATACAAGAACTCCTTGTGGGCACTCCATGAAATTGCTGAGCGGTCAGGTTAGAACGGATAAAAGGAAGTCCTTCTTCACCCAAAGAGTGATTAACACGTGGAATTCATGGCCACGGGAAGTGGTGGCAGCTACAAGCATGGACGGCTTCAAGAGGGAACTGGATAAACATATGGAGCAGAGGTCTCTCAGTGGCTATTAGCCACAAGGTATAGATAGGGACTCTGGGGCAAGTGATGCTCTGTCTTCTTGGTACTTGGGGGGGGGGCAACAGTGGGAGGGCTCCTAGTGTCCTGGCCCCACTGGTGGACCTCCTGATGGCACCTGGTATTTTTGGCCACTGTGTGACACAGAGTGTTGGACTGGAGGGGCCGTTGGCCTGATCCAACATTGGCGTCTCTTATGTTCTTATGTCTGGGCCAAGGGATGCTCTGTCTTCTTGA